AAGTCAAAAATCGAAGCACTTTTACTGCCCCAAAACGTGATGACAGACACACACAAAAAAAAAAAACACATCATGGTAAAATGAATACATTCATCGCTCTGATCAGAATCTAAAATATTACCTTTTATAATTAATTTCAATGCATTTCATTTTATAAATAAAATTTTAGGTATATTGAATAGTAAAAGAATACAACAAAATGATTCAATAAATTAAAAAAAAATATATCATCTAATATTAAAAAAAAAAAATTWATAAGTTTTTGATCCCTAATGTCATGATAACAATTAATATACCTTCTATGTTTTTTTTTGTGCTTTTATTTATTTAATATTATGTTATTATAAATAAACAGGATGTTATTAAAAATACTTATGTTATCTGGTGAAATATATTTAATTGAGCGAAAGAGGGAAACGAGTAAGCTTCTTGAATGGCAGAATATCTGTTACCAGTGAAAAACTATACATTTAAGCAACCGTCCCTTTACATTAAGTAAATGTATTAATTACATMAAAAATGTTAACTTGTTTTATTTTTTATTTAGGTCAAAAACCTAGTAGTTGTCCTCCAAATATGGCGAGATGTGGTAATTCGACTCAGTGTACATATATTGAATCGTTTTGTGATGGTACTGCTCATTGTGAAAATAGCACTGACGAAGGAAGTTTTTGTGGTAAAATAATTATGTCTTAAATTTGTTTTCTTGATAATATCTATTATCTCACRAATTTCAGGGACTATTGTTCCATGTCATGGTTTAAATTGCACTCACGGATGTAAGCCAACTGGAAAAGGTCCAGCTTGTTTTTGTCCTGAAGGAATGCAACCTCRTAATAATGAATGTATAGGTAATAATGTTTCATAATTACCCATTAGTATTAATATTTAATTGTATTTAATGTTTTTTTTTTTAGATATGGATGAATGTGAAGTTTTAGATTATACTTGTGATCAAATATGTACTAATAAAATAGGATCTTATAGTTGTAGTTGTGTTCCTGGTTATATTCAAATTAATTCAACATGTAAAGCTATCAATGGTAAATAAATATTTAATAATTTATCTTACATAATTAATTAATCTTTAAAATAAATTTTACAGTTCCTGAAAATGAACATGCATCAATACTTGTTAGTACTTCTAAAGATATTCGAAGAATATACCTTAATGGAAGTTCTTATGCAGGCCAAAGATGTAATGTCCAAGCACTTTCTTTGACATTTGATCATAGAAATCAAACAGTTTGTTTTGTACATCAATACAACAAAACTAATGGAACTAAATTGAGTTGTGCTAATATTGATAATCTTTCTGTRTATTGGGATTTACCTTCACCTACATTTTTTCCATTATTAGGTTTGGAATTCAACTTTTCTCTCAAAATATTTGTGTAAGTAATGATTATCAAAATAATTATTTTTCAGCGACTACTCATGTGGCATTAGATTGGGTATCAAGAAACTGGTATTATGTTGATGATGATCGAGATATGATATATATGTGTACTTCTAATATGAAATATTGTGAAATTTTGATTGATGTTAATTTGAATAAACCTAGAAGTATTGCTTTGGATCCAACTAAAGGGTATGCATTTCTATTACTAAAATACTTTTTTAAATTATTAGTATACTGATCGTATATTGATTGTGCAAAGTGGCCTCATTATTATAACCACAATATTATTTATCTATATAATATTATAATCTAAATCTATATTTTATCTAAAAATTAAATTTCTACTGAATTGATTGAGCTTTTGTTATAACATAATGACTCGTTGAACTTGGTATCAATCAAATAAATTAGTTGGTGACTTTACTGGTTCAATTGGTCTAGTACTAACAAAATGTRATAGTAATTTATTGATGATAACTTTTGACATGTGATTGTGGTTTAATTAATTAATTAGAAAAGGGTAGTAAGACAAGGTTCTAATTAATAGAAGTAATCAAGGGTAGTCACATTGTTATATTATATATATGTTTGTTTCAATAATATTTGATTGTAAAAGGTATATTTATCTTTGAAACAGTTGTACTGATAACTCATAAGTAGTCACATTTATATATATATATTWTTTTTATGAATACAGATACTCTTGAATTATATTTTTCTTTATTTTGTGTAGATTTATGTTTTTTACAAAATGGGGACAATATCCTGCAATGGTAGAAAGAGCTCAACTTTCAGGTCTTGATAGAGTACCTTTGGTTGAACAAAAAATAGTTTTTCCATATGGATTAACTGTAGATATTCCATCAGAACATATTTATTGGGTGGATACTTACTTAGATTTTGTWGAGAGAATTAATTATGATGGATCGAATCGGCGTACAATAATAAAAGGATATCCTGTAAGTGTTAAAATAAAATAAGTAAAACACTTAATAAATACATGTTTATTTAGGTTATAAATTTATATGACATATCTGTGTTTGAAAATCATATGTATGTAACATCTTGGAGATTACAAAGTGTTATAAAACTTAATAAATTTAACAGCAGTTATTATGAATCTTTTATCACAAACTTAAGTCGTCCATTCACAATTCATGTATATCACAGACAAGAACAACCAGAAAGTATGTAATAGTTTTTTGAAAGTTATATTAGTATGCTACCTTAACATTATTTGAATACTTAAAACTTAATAAATTGAGTTTTTGTTACATATTTTAATTATTTATTCAATATTTCCTTTTTTAAATAAATTTAAATCAATGGTATTTTTTTGTTATGTTTTATTTAGTTAATCATCCATGTATGATCAATAATGGTGGTTGTGATCATATTTGTGTTACTGCTTATAAAAATAAAGAAGCTATTGCCCACTGTTTATGTCAACCTGGTTACAGACTTACTTCTGGAAAATGTATTTGTGAGTATATTCTCATAATCTTTCAAATTTTAACTTATATATATATATATATATATGTAGTGGTTGAGTTAGAAAAGGTAGTATTGTCAAATACTGACACCAGTTAAAAGCTCTGCATTAGCTATCAGTATGACTGATAACTAACCTAATAGTTTAAAAAGAAAAATATTTTTTAGTTTACATTATATGATGTATATAACTTTTTTAGCATCCAAATTGCCTGCATTTTTGATATTTGGTAAAAGTAATCCACCAATGATTAAAGGCATATCTATGAACTCAAAAAATCATAAACATCAAATTATTTTACCATTGGATGCAGACAGAAAGCCTACAACTATTGATTATGATGTCAAAACACAATCGATATATTATTCAGGAGGAAAAAAAAATGCAATTGAACGAATGAGATTAAATGGAACAAAGAAAGAATTAGTAAAAATGTTACCAGAAATGAATTGTGAAGGTTTGGCTATTGACTGGACTGGTCGAAATTTATTCTGGACAGATGAAAGTTTGGGTACAGTTAATGTATTTAAAATTGATGATCCAACTAAGCAAAAAGTATTGATAACCAATAGAGTTCATCATCCTAGATCCATTGTACTAGATCCTAAAAACGGGTATGTAAATTAGTCAAGCTAGTTTATTTGATAATAATGTTTCATTTATGATTATTTTTTCAAGTTTCATGTACTGGGGAAATTGGCCTCGAGGCTCTACTAGCTCTGGTGGAAATATTGAGAGAGCTTGGATGGATGGAAATAATCAAACAAATTTTGTTAATGTGGATGTTGAATGGCCAATGAGCTTAACCTTGGACTTTTTTACTAGAAAGTTGTACTGGTCAGATGTTTACAAGGATAGAATAGAATGTATTGATTTGGATGGTAGTAACAGGGAAATTATTAAACGATCAATTCCTTATCCTTATGGAATTGCTATATATAATAATTTATTATTTTGGACTGAAACTGTTTCTACTGGAGTATTGGTGAAAAGCTATGATTTAGTAAATAAATCTCAAGAAACATTAGGAATTGAAAATCCTCCACTTTATACATTAAAAGTATATAATAGTGAAGCTCAAGGTAAGAAATATTAGTTTAATAATTATTGTTTAAAATATTTTTAACACATTACATAATTTACTAAACATTTTGTTTAAAAATAATTGTTAAACTTGACTAATCACATTTTTTGATACTAAATATTACTATTTTATTTTATATGGTTTTTAGTCAAAGCGTCTCCATATTGGTGTGAAAATTTAGATTTATGTCCTGGATTATGTATGTCTACTCCTAATGGACCAGTTTGTATGTGCAATGATGGTTATCTGTTGAAAACAACTTATGATAAAAAAAAAGAATGCGTCAAGTCTAGTAATTATTCTACTCCCAATACCTGTAAAACGGACGAATTTCAATGTATTAAGAATAAACAGTGTATATCAATGAAATATGTATGTGATGGAGATAATGATTGTGGAGATGGTTCAGACGAAGACACTTCAGAATCTGGC